AGTCGCAACGTTTTATGACCATACGTATTGCTCCCGGTCGCTATTTTCAACCCTTGCTGAGATGGAAATAAATTATAATTATGCTCGTAGGTACCTACTGTAGTCGTATACCGATTAACGTCTCTATATTAGTGATTTTTTGTATGTATCATGCAACAAAGGCATTAGCTTATGCATGTATTATATATATATATATATATATATATATATATATCATCTAATATCAACAAGGTTTAAATAATCATATTCTAAGTATACATAACTAAGATGGTGTACAATATGCTTTACAAACTTATTAGTTAAGAATTTATTTTGCGTAACCGTCTATTCTGTAGCCATTGAACAAAATTTATCATTGATAAATGAAATAATAATGCTTGTTATTTAATATATTTATTCTCGATGTTTGGATGAACTATGAATATAATATATATCTTATTATGCTTGATAAAAATTATCGCGTTTGTTTGTTAAAAATAGTATTGCCAAAATATGCCCGCAGGTGATTTTATTGTGGTCAATGTCAAGGTTACCTTCGGCGAACTGACCTAGGGAACCTAAATTGCTCTTGAACTCGCTCACACACTGGCCTCAATTGTGTTCGTCTAATGCACCGGTTAACAACCTCTAGTATCAAGGTGCCTGTAGATGTTTGCATAGAAAAAGGAAGTGAAGAAACTGTTTAATAACCCGCACACGACCCCTGAGTGTCTCTGGCAATGAATCTGTACATCGTACTATTGAACCCGTTCTGTCAATGCCAGGTCCAAAACTCCGTAAGTACGTAATATACGACGATAACCTTCTAAGCTATCTTATTTCAAACTCAATCTTAAACTTCCTAACCACGTTCGGTAAGACCGTCATAGTAAATAATATCTAAAAGAAATGTTACTTACTCTCTTCCCGACGGTTTCAGTAAACTCCAATAGTAAACGTACACTTATGAATTCTTACCATTACTTGAATTTTCAAAGACGAAACTTTTCCGTATTTGTATCTCATTAACGTCTGTTCTCATCATAGCAAGAAGTAACAATGAAGTAAAATAAGCCTAATTTTACAAACGCGCACGAGACAGTACAATTACATCTATAATTAAATCGAGCTCAATTTATTTATCTCCTTTTGGTCAGGTCTATATTGAATAAATATTATTCATTGTCTGAGTCTAAATCAACGTTTTATTATCATGAACGCGGGCGAATTGCAAACAGTTATTGTTCGGGGGTGGTCGACCCATGCGGGCTCAGCTGCGCAGGATTTTCGCACGCTCTCATATTCGCAACTTTTAAGTGCACAGACGGATGTAGTGTTTTCCGGTCTTGAGATATCCTGAAGACCTCATTTGAGGGTTCCGACTCGGAATATACCTTGAATTAACTATCACTTATCTTCATAAATTATTTCCTTTCAGTAAAGTAGAAATATTGTTGACCAATCGCCTTAATTTACTGAAAGACAATATAAATATATTACTTATGGAACACACTTGTTTTCTTGTTAAGTATTTATTTCTAACTGTTATCATATATGAAAGTATTAGACATCTGGAATATAAGTAGGTAGTGGGTACGTATACAAAATGCGCCCGAGACATCTTGATTCATGGGCAATTAAGGTGACTGGGAGCAGCCAAAACAATCGATCTGTTGCAAGTGGTCGTCTCGTTGCGATGACACACACTGACTGCCCGCCTCGTCTCAATGATCACTACTCTTCAAAAATTGTAGCTTCACTACTAGGTATCATTTGTTTACTTTTCTACAAAATAATTTGATACCACATTTCGATAATTTGCACTTAACTTACCTACAAAAGACACTTGCATATCTCGTGAACATTTTCGTTAAACTCTTCTTGTGAAGGTACGTATATCATTTATGATTCGTGCCCCATTGCTTTCAGTGATGATACATGTTTCCTCTCCCTGTGAAGTCCCGTATGAGCGATCTGTAAATAGTTCTAGAATACAACGTTAGTGTATTTCTGTTCCGTGCTAAAGTAGGTACATTTTACGTATCCGTACATTTGTTCCTACCTATACAATATCGTCAAAGTACCTAATTACTTCAATTTTAGTACTTAGATCAACAATATATAATATACAATGAGTGTCTTGTTACTATTGCCTGTTTTCACTCAAATAATAATGTAATTCTAGTCAACAAAATCTTAAAAATATAAGTAATTGTAATAGGTACGGTTATCCAAAAAAAAGTGCAAAAATTGTTGGCATTTAAATGCGCAAATATATCACGTCCTTGCTTCGAATGATAAGCAGTGGTTATTTATAAAAATGATGACTTTAATGTACCCAGATTACTTCAACTGCAGGAGCTTCTTAAAATGTAACACGAACTCAAATTCTGTGCCAGTGGTAATATATTTTAATAAAGTTTGGCGATGGAGTGGTGCGCTATACAAGTTGTAATTTATTGTTCACATTTTAGGAGGAAGTCATCTTTCTTTACAAAATTAGACAATTTAACGTAACTGACATTTCCAGGGGAACATTAATCAGTAATTTATTCAATTGTTATTAGATTATCGGAACATAATGTTGAATTTACTCAAACTCACAATGCGAAAAGATTTCTATACAAAATATAACAATAAATAGGAATCAACCACAGACAAGTCCAAATCATCGCACCGCACGTAGGCCCTAAGTAGATGAACAGGTATCATCCAGAACAATTAATGCAAAAGTACTAGGGTCGTCTTGACCTACTAAAATTTTGATTCCAACGACCCGAAATCGTAGAGTATGAAGACGTAGGTAATGTGCCTGGAATTGTGTCACAGTGTACGACTGAGGCGGTTTGCACAGTCGTCGTTTTATTAGTCGAGGGCAGTGTTTCTCGGGCGTACCGGCACGACAGACAGAGAGTCTGCAGCCGCCCACTCACATGATGAGCTAGCGGTAACCTAGTACAAGTTCAAACGATTAGCATATCGTCCATTTATAGCGAAATATCTTTCGTTTAGTCATCTAAACAATGAGAATTTGCAGAATCAGTTACAAGATACTGTTACTAAAGTTTTACATTTAGAAAAATGCTTTTTTTATATGTAGCCACATCCAGTCGTGTGGAACTAGTTAGCCACAAGGTAGACAATACTCCTACTCGTGATAAAGGCAATGGCAATCTTAAAAATTAGATTCGTAAAACTTAGGATTAGGTTTAAGTTTTTATGCATTCATCACTCAAGTGAAGTCGAACATCCAGCACTTTTTTTTATTTAACCCTCTTAGTAGGTACTTAAATTAAGGTAGGTACTTAAAAAATAACGTTATTGCCCACATTTCACACACCCTTCCAGCAATTTTATACAACCAGACGAAGTCTTTTGTAGTGGCGGCTACGCATCCTTCATCCGTTTGATAAAATTTACATACCACCTTCTTTCATCATCAACCACGCCTACTAATTTTTATCTATCACTTACGTCTAATTTTTGTTTTAAGAATACTTCCATACCTACTCTGTCCGCGTACTTAAAATAAACAAAAACAAAGACGCTTGTCCCAGTGTCCTGTCATATGCACCTCATTTCATTAACAGAGTAATTTATCAATCGGACAGTGAATACTAGGTTATTATCGACTTTGATATGCTAAAAATAATAAACGAACAACAAAGGTCGCGAGATTCAACCACCGCAATTTAAGTTCACGGGAATAGTGTCTATATTTAAAATAGTGACTAAGGTTCGTTTCTATGTTTATGTTGTCAAAAAAATCTGCATCCATGGAAATTAATAGGTTGAGATCTAAATTTACCCAAAACTTTAACAATTACAGCTATTATTTAAGAGGTCTTATACGAACGCCTCAATTTAGATCCAGGCACAGTATTACTTGAGTCCATATAAGTACTGTTTATAATGACTTGAGTGAGATATAAATAAAATTCTGTATCTTTGAATTATCAAACTTGCGTAAACTGCAGACGTTTTCTCAAAATTGTTGAATTGTCGATTAGGTTGATCGAATTAGGTTATACGCGTATGGTGCGTTAACGAAAAATTCGTAAATTATGTGGTAACATTGGCTAATTAGTGTCTGGGATCGTAGCGCCAGTGCGCCGCTGGTCTTGGCGTTATCTTCAGCTGCGGTCGAAGCCCCTTGGCTCACGGCACAAGATTACATACTTGGTTGAACCCAGATAGCCCCGTTTTCGCATCGCAATAATTATTTCACCTTTACCTCCACTGTTGTGTCACCGATTTGTAAAGAAACTGCTTTAGAAATCTTAATTTAGAATCCCTCGTCACCTACTCCTAATTATTTTTTAGTAATCCGATATACTTCTGTCCATTTGAACGGTAATAACTGTAGACTATTGCATGCCAAGCCTAGTTTGTACAAAAAGCGCGTACATTGCCTAACCGTTGTAGATTTAATATTCAGAAGCTGTCGGACCTGATAGCGATTGTTATCAACGAGTACTCGCTTTTATAGACAATCGTTCGCGTTGAAGTTGAACCGATCACTGTCTAATTAAAATTTGTGATGCGTGAAACGATCGCAAAGGCTGCACTCGTGCCTGTCATTGAACTCTTTGAAATTTGAAAATATGATACGTGTAAAACGTTTCAACATTTTACAAAATATATTTTTCTAACATACTGTAATCTATTAATTTTTCCGTTTTTTTATACGTTCACGAAACTGAACAATCCTTTGAAATAATGGTATATAACAGTTAGTTACTGTCTGTCGGATCTTATGATCAATTAAAAAAAAACATGAAAAACTACCGCACGCTCATGAACGCAATGCACATTCCGTTTCTTGATTGATAGCTTTAATTCCCGGATAAAGTTTATGCCTACCACGTCCTCCCGTTTCTGTCTAATACTAGACATGTCTAACGGACTAGGGGCATCGAACTTGGTTTTACGTTTACGAAGATAAATGATCAGATTCTTAAACTGAAGACTTGTTCGTAAATATTACTATGTAATCCATAAAAAGAAAGTGGCATACTAACGTGCAAAAATAAAAACGTTATCGGTGCGGGCGAGGAAGTCGTCCGGTTCAGTGTGAGTGACCAAGGTGCGTGAATTGGCAGGTGCGTCGGCCTGGACGCCCGGCGGTGGCGGTCGGCGCTCGTACCGCTCCATGAGATTCGCTGGCACGGGCGGCAGTTGCCGACCCGTGGTATTCGGTGCCTGTGTGAATTCTAGTTTTGCCAGGAGGCTGTCGCGGATCAGCTGCAAGCTGTACTCCCGCGCGTTCTCGTAGTAGCGACAAGAGTCGCACGCGAGCTGCGCCGTCGGTGGGTCCTCCGGACAGGCCGGGTCGGATGCGGCGGCGGTGGTGGCGGCCGCTAGCCACGAGACCAGCAGCAGCAGGCTCGCGGGCCTGGCCCGCGGCCCGCGCGACGCGCCCAGCGGACGCGTGGTGCGGCAGAGCGGGGAGGCGGCGCGGCGGCGTAGCGCGAGGAGCGATGTGTGGCCGCGGGCGGCGCGTGCTACACTGCACACGCCGCGGTTGACGCCCGCGCCTCCTCGCCGCCGCCGCCGCGAGCTGCACCGCGCGCCGCGCCCGCCCCTCACCGCGTTGTCGTCGTTGCCGCCCGCCACTTGCCACAGCAGTGCTTGTTGACTCATCACCCAGGAAAACAAGAAAAATGTCTAAATGACCACCCGTTTACTTACTGGAGAAAGCCGTAAATACCTGCACTTGAACATCAAACAGTGTTGCATGTAATTGTAGTTTTGCTTATTTTACTTAATATTTCTGTGTACTGGGAAATGGTACCTAAACTCGCCACCATCAAATTATGTGGGGGTGAAGTTATTAAGATGAATACCGATACACATTAACAGTTTTGGAGAACGCCTGTCAGTCCAAATGTCTCACGATGGGAAAACAATTTAAACACTAAGGTACTTTGCTTGATTTATATAAGATTACTTAGGCGAAAGTTCCTGGTGTTTAAGATACCTACATATCCTACCTTTCATAATAGTAATTTAGTCAAATCCAGTAACGCCACATGCTGACAATGAATAGTGATACACAGACACATGGACCGGCGACCTGAGACGGACGACACGAAGAAAAGAAAAGACGAGACGAGACGGAGCGCCGCGACTTTGAACATTAAGGGTAGGTATTCCCTAAGTTGCGCCTTTCCATTTCGTCCAACTATAGACCGCAATGGGCTAATTATGACGATGAAATAAACAATTTATTGTAAGTATTGCAAATGAATTTAAAATGTCCTATATATTGTAGATTGTAAAAAATCGTGATTATGATTACAAACGAGTTCATGAATAGTCCATTTCGATAATAATCCAAAATATACACGGACCTATTTGTTACAACAACTGTTGGTCTAAACCATCCATTGTAGGGTATAAAACCAAAGTGCTCCTAGTTGATCATAGGGTTGAGTCGGAAAATTAATCCCGCTTAACGAATTTCTAAATCATAGCATTTATACTCACACTCATGAAGATATATCAAGAGGGCATATCCCTATATGTTCTATATCGTATTCTAGAACTCTATTCAATGCTCAAGTCAGGATTGCACTGGATACACGAGCACTGGAAATACGACCGTAATGGCAGGGACTTGAGTATGATTTCGAGTGCTTTAAACCGTACTCAAATCCTGACTTGAGCGTTGAGTAGAGTTCTAGAATACGACCCATAATTACGATGATATGATATGCAGTACTGAAAAGAATATTCTTAAATACTAAATCTATGCTTAAAAGTCAGAATAAAATACCACAGACAAAATTTTACGTATCCTTAGCCAAAAAATTTTAATTTTTTTCTAACCCGACAAAACTGACAGTTCAGTTTTGACATGTCTGTCTGTGTGGCCAACGTAGGCGAATTATCGCCATTTAGGCTACTCAGGACGAAAATCAGTGACGAAAAATCTGTATAGCGACTGGTCGCCTATTAGGCTACTTTCGGTTTACAATGTTAAGAATAACAAATTTGTGTATATTAAAGAAAAGATAAGCTCACCCCGAAAATATAGAAAGTCTGTGACATTAAGAATGAAAAATTGTTTATGGTTGGTCAGTTCCGGCGGGAATTTCCCACGAAATCTAATAGATTAAGTTTTAGTATACGTTTCAAAACAAAGTTTCTTGCAACTCCTCTTTAGCAATCTATCTGAACGTTGCTTGTTGTGCTAATAAGTTGACTAGTTTGACTTTAGTAAAAGAAAATATAGAGGGCACAGCAGTTTTCTTTAGTACTTTGAATGTAGGTTCGTCACCTAAAGCGGATAAAAATAAATTAATAAATGATAACATATACTAGTAGAATACTACCATAAGTATTAATGATATTATGTCAATTTATTTACTTTTATTTGATCCTTCTTAGGATTCATTTTAATAAACTACAACTTTACTTTATTTATCGCTGTTTTTCATTTGATGTTTAGGCTATCACAGCTAAAATTCGACTAAATTAGGCTACTAACTTTACGAAAAATGGCGACATTGGACCCAGTGTTGTTGGCAACACCGTTGTCTGTATGTCATTTTCTTTGATTATTTTCAATTATTTTGTTTTAACACTTTAAATAGGAGAATTATTTTGTTGTATTGCCAATATTCACTTCAACAGTTCAAGAAAGTGGTCCGAATTTCACAAATTAACACAACATTATGGATAAATGTCGCATATGCTTGAATAACAGAAAGACTATCATGTCTATCTTCGAAAATGTTAAGGGAATGTGCTACGCTGACATGATGACTGCTATAGCTAATGTTAAGGTATATCTTTGTGGATCATATTTTATACAAAGTACATACAATGTAATTTCTGTGGTAGTTTTGTTCAAGACTTTCTCTTCAATAAGAGTATTGAAAAGACACACAACATACAGAGGTATGTTGTGTTTATGTGTGTTGTGTTAGTATAAGACATGGCATATTAATTAGTACTGTTTTTTTTGCAGATTTCGAAAGACCAACAGATAACAGATAAAATATGCCGTATGTGCCGTCGAAAACTTAAAGAGGCTTATGAATTTAAAATATTAATAGAAAAGTTAGTAGATATCGAGTTCTTAGATTTTCGCGATTGTTACACATAGGAAATGAAACAATTTTTCTGGATTTAAATCGCGTTTAAATCCGGAAAAATAGTTTCATTTCCTAAGTTAGTAGATGTTAGTGTATAAAAAAATTTGATGTTTGATTATTACTTTAACCCATCATATGAAACAGCCTCACTGAATAATGTGTACAGGAAAAACTGAAACTATACAGGGTCAATTAAAAACTTTAAAATTAATATTAGTCATTGGTGATTAGATATACTTAAATACAATGACCAAATTAAAGATAAAAAAACATATATTAAAATACAAAACATGAAAATGTTGATAGTTTATCAGAAATTAATAAAAAATCCTTTAAAATTTTATATTATATTATATTCTAGTAAAAATTACTTTGACGGCTGTTCACTTGTGGTATGGTGGTTACTATTACTGTTATTTGTGGGAAAAGTTATATATTTACTTTACAATGTGACATAATATTACTCTGTTTTACTATGGATATTAAGATTGTTAGTGCGAATATTACATAGTTACATGGTTGTTCCAGTAATTGGTCATAAATTTTAAAAGTGCAAAAATCCATTACAATTTTAAATATTCCCATGAACAACATTATAAAGTTAGTTTGTTATAAACATGCAAGAGTAGATAGTCTGTAAAATAAATACTTGCAATATTCGTGCGAGATTGTTGATTTCATTTTCTATAGAATAAACAGTACCAAATAATATAGTATAAAATGAATTGGAAAATTAATCTGAAAAAAATTATGAGGCATATTTTGAGCGGGAAAATTAGAAAAAGGAAAAAAACATTACATGAAAATGTTTACACCGTTGTTCGGTGGGGCAATTAATATGTCCTGTAACACAGTGTACCGTACTGTAGTGACCTGAAGCCACACAGTGTCTCTGATATACAGCTATGTTTTCAACAACCATTTTTAGTTTTGTTATAATTATTAATACAAAGATCGAACACTTAAAATTCCTTCGATTCGGACGTCTTCTAGCAAACCGTGCCAAACACTATGCCAACCGAGTCACGGACCGAACCAGCGGACCTCACTAATTTCTTTATGTGTATGTTTGTTGGATCTTTGTTCTTGTGTTTCAACGACTTTCTAGCTGTAGCGTTATCTATGAGAAATCTATGAAAGTCACCCAGCTAGGTACCCTTACAGCTACTAGCCCTGGCTAGAGATGTCGCTATTAACTTGTAATTAAATATTTTATTGAATGTCAGGATGTTTCACCACCACAATATTTTATCCTTTTTTGTAAAAATACTCCACTAGTTTTGTTATAATTATTAATATAAAGATTGAAGAAAAATTCCTTTGATCTGGCGGGATTCGAACCGAGACGTCTTCAAACAAACCGTGGCAGCCGCTATGCCAAGTAAGCCATGCAACAAACCAGAGGATCTCACGAATTTCTTGTGATGTGTTTGCTTTTTATTTATTTTTTTGCCAACATCGTTAGGGTCACTGTGTGTCTCTAGGACAGGTGATTTTAAAAAATAAACATTAATAAAATTGTATCTCTCTACTAAGGCTAATAATTTTCAAGTAGCTGTAAATATCCGCTCACCCTATTTGACTGACCATCTGCCCAGTACCCTGCATTATAATATCCTGTTTTCTTCACAGATCTGATGCAACTCTCTGTGAAATTACGAATCTAAAGAAAGTCAGCTTCAATAATCTAAATGACATCAAAATCAAAATCGAAATTGAGAACATAATAGATTCAAAACCTTTGGTACCAAATTATAATGATTTCAAATTGTGTTTTCAAAAAGATATAAATGAATTACTCTATGGTAACACTGTTATAAAGAAAGTAGAACATAAACATAAAGATGTCAGTATGGAGCCTATGCCTGGGATTAAATTCGTCAAAACAATTAAAGATGAACCTGATGATCATCATTTTGATGATGTATGTAGTATTGTTAATAGATTTGGCAAGAAAATGAGTTTTAATAGTCTATGTATTAGTATATCCTTATATACATATCCTTGATGTTTTTTCCTGTTCTAAGTGGTATTATCTAATCTATAAAACTAAAAATAAGCCAGTTTCTTTTTCAACTTCAGAATTGACACTCTAGCATCTCTAAAGTAAATGCTTGTACTGGATAGCCTCGTAATAATCACTTCAATATTTTTTACAGGATTATGATATAGATCAAGAGAATTATAGTCCAGAGAGTGACAGTGAATATCTGCCTATTCAAGAACTATTGAAAAAGTCTAAGAGAAGGCGGTACCAAAAACATAAACAAAAGAAATGTAAGTTTATGTACTACATATACAATGAAAACAAATACAGACATATTGCTAACAAATTGAAAAATTGTTGCAGTAAGAACAACAAATAAAGAAAGAAAAGTCAGCAAAACATATAGGACCAATATAAATGAAGAAAAGATGACAACATTCATTAAACCAATGAAACCAATATACATAGGAGATTTGAGGCTAATTCGTACTTATCTCAAAAAACCAAAAGCAGAAACGAAGAAACAAAAATATCAAGTTAAGGCAAGAATCTGCCCGCATTGTGGTCTGCTCACTAAATCGTTGAACTCTCATATGCTACAACACATAGGTATACATTTTATTGCACTTTTAAATAATGGTAATGTCTGATAAGTTAATTGCAATGGTGCCGCCAATTTTACGTTTTATCATCAAAGTTTGTGTTAAGAAGTTACTTTCTTAATTATTGCCAATTCTATAATTATTTACCCAATTTCTTAGCGTGCTTCAACTCCTGCATCCATACTAAATGTGTTTTTTATGGGTTCCCTACTTGAGATAGAATGTCGTTTGATCGAACATTAATTGCTCGATCAGTAGCCAAAATAGTGATTTTGGCTACTGATCGTTACAAGAACAACGTGTTATCTCTAAAACATCGACATATATAAATTGATGTGCAGTAAGCTTTGAAAAATTCTTGTATATAAAAAGATTTTTTAAATATAATGTTTATGTATCATTATATATTTACGGGTTGTTTTGAACAACGCGGAAACACGTGTTTGTTTATTTTCTATTTAAATACACAATAAACTAACAAATACCTTAAAGTGTTCAAACAAAGTTTGAAGCAAATCGCACAACTCGTTAAAAATTTCCCATACAAACTTTAAATACCCCATTTCATCCCTTTTTAGGCGTAATATTGAAAAACCCTGAAAAACTTTTTTTTTGTAGTTAAATCCAAATTATATTTAAAGCAAATCGCACCACGCGTAAAAAAGCTCCCATACAAGCTTCATTGCTTTATTTCACCTTTGTTTTGGGGATAACTTTGAAAAATGTTAGTATCTTTTAGTATTTGTATTATATAATATTTCCGCACCCGAGAAGCACTACACTGTACATGACATTTTTGTAATTTTACGGGAGAATCGATTTTGTGTCGAAAAGCAGTTTGTACGACAATTAGGGTAGCTCGAAATGTTATTAAAACTCAATTTTCAAAATTCAAAGTTTTATTTCAAGCCATTCGAATGTTGTACTTGCTGCATTTCGACACAAAATCGCGTGTCTTGTAAAATTACAAAAATAGCACTTACAGTGTAATGCTTGTCAGGTACGGATTTAGTTTCATCTTTGTAAGTTCAAGGAATGCCTACGATTTTTCAAACTAACACATTTTTACCCATTTTTACTTCTTTAGGGGTTGAATTCCGAAAATTCCGTTCTTAGTACGCTTACACTAAATAAAAGTAATATACGCTCAAGTTTCATGTCACCAGCGAATTGCTCCTACTCCTTTTTTAGATTAGTACCTAACTAGTAATTTTTATATTGGTTTCGAATCACTTACTACTATTACTTTTTTACTTATATTAGTGGTTTTTTACTTATATTATACTACTATTAGTGGTTTGTAACTGGAATTGAACAAAATTCATCAAAGACATCACTTCAAGATTAGTACTAATCGAATTTCGGGGAAGAAATTGAGACTGGTAACTGTAAAGCTGTATGTGTGAAAACCCTATAAATCATATATGTTTTTGTGTGTTAACTTTTATTATATATCAAATTTGACTAAAGTATAGACACATACACTTGGTTTCGATTCTGCCTTTTTACACTACGTCTTTTCAGTACAGTGGTAGTCCCATCAGCATTCTGAAACCGTTATTATATTGAACACGCAGGGCGCTGAGTGCCTTCTGCGTATAGTTCACCCACAGACCACCCGTGTAGAAGGATTGACAGTAAGCCTTGAATAATGTAATTTTGGCTTCCTCACTACAACGGGCAAATCTGTGTGCCAACATGTTACATCTGGCAGCCAACGCCCTACGTTCTCGATCAATATCAATTTGATCTTTGAGATCACCCGTCAGGTAACGTCCTAAATTTATCTACCCTTTTCAGGGGCAACCCGTTCAGACTTATCTTTGGTTCGTAGGACATTCCCTTACCAGGGACCCCAAAGATCAAGAACTCGCTCTTGGCACAGTTGTACATAAGGCCGTGAGAACTTGTGTACTGTTCACAAGTTCGAAGCAACTCCGCAATTGAGCCCGCCGTTGGACCCAGGAGCACCATATCGTCGGCATAGCTTATGTTATTCACGCATATGCCGTCGACATGACACCC